AATAATATAACCACCTCAGAGTGACTGCAGTGGCCAGTGAGAGAGAATGTAAATACTGGGAGCACTGTACAGTGGATGGTATAACATCTGGTATATTGTGTGCTTCCGTATTTATTTTGACAGTACCAGACAAAGGAGGCCTTTGATTCAGGCTGTATATCTTGCCTGTAATTCTGTGGCACATGTGGGGAAAACTGATCATTGATTGATAACTAAATTTCAATGCAGATTGGCAGGTTTATTCCCTTCGTCCTCCAGCTGATAGAAATTCACCCCCCGTTACGGTTCTCCTGGGAATCCCCCGGGAATGTGTATGTGAAACCTCATCTTTAAGACCTGCCAGTTGGCAGCAGAAAAAAAGGAAAAAGTTATTTACATTTTCAGCGTTAGCGGTAAGCATGCAGAAGCTCGTGTACACAACGCAGGTGCTTTGGGACTCTGTAGTAGTTACTCACTTCTGTCTCTGTTCAGAATCACCGTGTTACTCACCATACAACCTGCAAATTCACATGCGCCCGTGTGCATCAGTGTAAGCTGATTCATTCAGAGACATGGTGTTGCGGTGTTGTGTATTTGTTTTTTCCTGCCTGGAGTCTGTGTAGCGAAATATCCATTAATCACTGAAAATGCTACCGATGCGCTCAATGGACTCGGCTTGGCCACATTTTCTGTGCTTCACAGCTTCGTGCCACAAAACCATGTTCATCATTATCGTCTCTGTGACTCACACGGCCTCAAAGGCCAGCCGGTTTCCTGCTAATTGTAATTCTTATAGATGCGTGATTTGCCAGATTTTTGTTCCCTTGGACACGCATGGGTGCAAACGAATCAATTATGGCCTCCCCCTCTGAAAATATGGCTGGGGGATATCTCTGAGCGTGACTGGAGTGTGCTCTGCACGCTGTCACCCTTAGCTTTGGGTGCGGAGAGTGGCCATACACGGGTTTTAAAGAGCTTCATCTTATGGTTTACAAGCTCCGCTAAAGTTGTGTTACTGTTGCAGGAGCAATTGTAAAGTAATTACACAGGAATGGAAAAAGAGTGTAAAAAGAGTGTTACTGAGAAAACTGGCGTGAAAAACCCTCTTTCTCAAACATGGCTTGAATTTTGTACTTTCGAATAGTTGAATGATCAGGTGCACATCGGCGAGCGATCGGCGATGCAACGATAAATTAGCCATTAGACGGGTTTGATAACTTCATACGAAGCGAGCGATGCTACGCTGATGCCACGGCGATCCTGGTCTCAGGTAATATTCGCCCGGCCTGGACACTGACGGCGTGTGTCTCGGCACAGAGCCCTGGGAAGGTCCCCATCTCCCTCAAGCCATCCGGCAGGAAATGAAGTAAGCTAGTAATCTACCCTCCAGAATGACATTTTACACGGAGTGCAAATGAGGTGTGGGGGGAAACGGGTCGGACGGTGCCAACCCTGGCCCCATTTCTGCCACCTTCACAGTTTCGGGAGGGACGTAAATGCCACGGGAAGGGGAAGTTCACACTTTCTCATTACACCGGCGCCGGCCCCGTTGGGGGCTGGGGGGCCGAATGAGGGACGGGTGGCGGAGGCGGCGGAGCGCAGGAGAGGTCCTTTGCATTACTGCTGAGGCTGGGAGAGTGAGGGACTTGGTCATAGCCTGACAGCTGGACCCCTACGGTCAGCAGGATTTACCCGCACTTTTCAGATCCGGGCCAAAAGTGCTGAACCAGACAACTCCGGCTCTCTGGCGCTAGGAACACAGATTCTTGTCTGGAGTAATTAACCCAAGCAAATGGAGGTTGTCAGACGAAAGTAGCAGGCAGGGTTAGGTCTCTTTAATTACTGGCCGTGTCACCGTTCTAAGGGCTTAGCTACGCGTCGAAGTGTCCCGCTAACCTGATACAAAGAGCTTGTTTTACTGCTCTAGTTAAGGTAGCAGCTTGTGGGAAAAGACTACGAGGCGAAGGAAATTAGGTCGAGGCCTTGCCGTAAGTGTGCGAGAGAAAGCTATTTGGGTGCATATCAACCGAAGCGGTATATAAATTATACAGATCACATTTAAATTAATGCTCCATCAGCAGTTCAGGTTTGGATTTTTTTTTTGAGTATTTCAAATGATTTCATCATGCAGTGTTTTTATTTCTTAAGTCCGCATAATTCATAAACGCGGCAGCAAGCCGCCTGTAACGGATGTCTTTTCTCGCGAAATCCCTGCCAAGACGGCTCATTTTAACGTTTCTTTATCGCTGGAAAAGACGGAGACAGAGAGGGGCTCTGTCATGGCGCGGAGAACACGAGCCGGAGCGCCGGCTCGGGGGGGGGGGGGGGCTTCTGCCGCACGCTGGCGCGCGTGATGCCGCCCGGCAGAGCCTGGGGCCGGCGGACCGCGGAGGAGCAGGTGGCCGAGGGGGGAGGACGCCGCGGGAGAGGCGTGCCAGACTGACCCCCCTCCCAAACTACTGCAAGACCTGTGAGGACCGGCTGACTGAGAAAACACCATTTTCATTTTGGCCAACATGTAGCCAGCTGTAAACATCCATCCATCCATCCATCCATTTTCCAAAAGAGCTTATCGAGCACAAAGTCTGGAGTCTGTTCCAGGAAACACAGGGCACTATGCAGGGAATACCCAACACGGGCTGCTAGTTAAGCTGTAAACACTTGTGTTCAATAACTAGCACTGTAGTGCTTCTACAGCCCTCTCTGTACTGTCATTATCTCCAAAGTGCTGTTATTTCCTGACATTAGATGCAGTGTAAGCAGCTAATACTTTTTAAAGGCGGCGATGTGAATCACAAGCTTCACACTAACTAAAAATACATTTAACACCAGAAATGTGCGATTCCTTATCATACTTCCAGCGATACAGACCTGATTACAGCAAGGTAATGCAGCAACTGCGCTGTTCAGCTGGCTAAACTTGTACTAGCCTGTACTAGATAATTATCTCTTACTTATTTAATGATTTTATTTTTCTACAGGACCTGAGGTCTCTCGTGCTGTGTGGGAAATACGTGTAATTAGATATACCGCGACGCACATTACGCATGATTTAAAGGCTCGGCGCATGTGTTTGATTAACCTCGACGATAAGACGGTGACATGCGGCTGCGTGTGTTTTTTCTCGCGGGCCTGTGCTTCTGGATACTCCTGTGGGTCCACAGGGAATAAGGGGGGCAGGGTTATGAACCGTGACCCCAATGGCGTGACGGAACGTCTGTGAGGTCACGACCCCAGGCGGATCCGTCACCTGCCATAGCTAGAGGGCAAGACTGCAGTAAGGAGTGTATAGCGCAGATCGATATGTCAATCCTACCAAAGCCTTTCCTCTCTTCAGGCAAGACTGGGCACCTGCAGAGACTTAGTAAGATCAAGGTTTATTAAAGAGTTCAAATGTTGTAGGGATATTGATTAGGCTAATGCAAGACTACCTACTGTTTGGAAAATAAAATCAAACATTCAGTGTAATTAAAAGCACTGTGGAACGCTCCTAAGGGTGACGTCATGTTATGAACAGAAAGGTGGATCATTTTAATGAACAGCCTGGGTAATAAAGGTGAAAGATCGCTCTCTTAGCTGATGGAGTAATCCTGCGTACACAAGTCCATGAGAAGTTTTAAATCTGCCCTCACGATAGCGCCGATGCGGGATTTTGGCAGATTCCAAACCTCATCCTCAGGAAGCTTTTGGTAGTCTGACGCCGAAAAGGGTCTGAGGGGCGGAGTCGAGGTGGACGGCAGGGTCACGTGACGCACGTGCGAGTTTTCACAGCGGCTGAGCCAACTGCTCGAAATATTTCATCCCCCGCCGCGTGTGCCGGGGAAGAGCTGAAACACCTGAAGGCGAGTCTGCCCAGGAGCGCGGCGGTAGGTAGTTAGCGCACAGGAAGCAAATGCTCGCTCTGAAACAATGCACATCTGCCTCATTACCAGCAGCGTGGAGGGTTCGTGGTCTCTGTGAATCTATCATGGACTAACTAGCTGGGTAGTTTGAAGAGGGCCCCACAGAGACTGAGCTTCCTGCGCTGCAGTAAACGACTGAAACCGCTGGCTTCATGCAGAAGCATAATCATACCATCTGAGTGGAGAATCACCGTATGCATGTAAAGTCGCTTCATTTCTTCTCTGAACGGGTTTTAACAGGTCTAACAATAACGCAGTGCCCAGTGACTACCAACTCTTGAGCAGCATGCTGACCAAGTAGCAAGACGCAGTTTGTAAGGTGCATATGAGGCCATTTGGGGCCTGGAAGACTAAGAGAATGTTTACCGCTGGCTAAATGTTGACTAATATATCTGACGTGGTAGTGCGTGTTAATGAAACAGCTGGCAGACGTCTTCAAAGAGAGACCTTCTGTGGATTTCATCGGTATTTATTTGTAATACCTGCATTTTAAAACACAAGCACTCGTCTCTTATGCTGTTGAAATTCACTTCGAGACCCTTTTAGCTAGTAATGCGACATGGCGATGGGACTTTGCGGTGACATCCTTATCGGTGGGGTGGCAAACAGATCTGCCACTGAAGAGAGGCCATTGGGCAGCCTGGCACTGTACTTGGCTTGGTGCAGGCTGGGGGTGGTCTGCCGGGGTGGTCTGCCGGGCTGCTCTGTCTGCCTCTCTGTCCTCTTTGTCTCTCCCCCCCCCCCCCCCCCCCATCTCTCCTGGATATAACGGTACCTGAGGTGGCTTTGTAGCTGACAGCTTTGAGTGACGGTCTTGCAATATGGAGCTCCTGCACGTTTCCGTGGGTCGTCACCCTCGTGTCCTGCATCTGTCCCCCATCCCCCCCCCCCGATTTACTGTTGTCTTCACTCCCTTCAGAAAGGCTCAGTTTCTGCTATAATTTAGCAAACCCCCCCCCCCCGTCCTGGGGCACCTGCAGACCGGTGTGCTGGGAACGTCCCTAGCGCGGGTGCAGGGAGCCCAATGGTGCCCGGCGTGACCCGTGTTCTCGTGCCCGGTCTGGTCAGGTGGTTGGGAGACGTCACTCTTCAATCCTCTGACTCTGTTCTGTCTTACAGGCTGTGCGTTCCTTACCTACTGCGCACGCGAGTCTGCCATTAAGGCCCAGAATGCCCTCCACGAACAGAAGACGCTGCCAGGGGTAAGTCTGCACCCAGCACCGCCTCCCGGGCCCCCCGGCCCCCCCGGCCGGCACCCGCCGCGCCACCCGCTCATCCTAATGCCGGCGATGAAACATTTGGAAAACGATGGGGTCGATAATCTAGCCTTTTCTCCGCGCCTGAGTTTGGAGCGGCCGTGCCCCCCCCAGGGAAGGCCACATGCAATGAAGCATTGATTACACACACTCTGCGAGCTTAGCGGACGGCAGCCTCAAATGCCATTCCAATTATCCTTTGCATTATTATTAAAACCAGCTTTTCCTTTGAAAAGGCTAGTCGATGTTGTCCGGTCTAGAGCTATTTAACGTTTGTGGGCGGGTGGGGGGAAGGTGAGTGATAAGCACATTTCTCACGGCGGAGACGGCCACTAGGGCTGAGACATTACCCCCCCCCCCCCCCTCCCCAGGATAGGGGGCTAGCGGACAGGAACAAAGCTGTGAGGGTTAGAAGTGTGCTCCGTTCAGATGAGGCCTGCTTTTGAAAAATAAACAGGCGGGTGGGTTTTTTGGGGGGAGAGTCACTCCTTTCATGCTTTTGAATTTGCCAGGCTTCAGTCTTTGGGGCCTTTTCCCATGAAGATGGTTTGAATTTGAGAGAGAGGGAGCAAGAGGAATTGAAGGCAGGGCCTTTGAAAGAACGCCAGTAGATATATATTCATGGTCGGGCTGTGGCCTAGCAGGTTAGTGATACTTTTGGGGGGGGGGGGGGGGTCCTCACAGCTCTCAGATTCAGCCGAAGGACCAATCGCTTGCCCCCACCAACCTCGGGGAGCGAACGTCACCGGGTTGGGAAGCAGAGGGTGAAGGGTCAAGGCCGTCGGCGGACCCTAGCGGACAGCGGGCGGCCACGAGGCTGGAGAACAAGCGCCATTTGGTGGTTGGGCAGCGTCACGTGCTGCCGGGGAGCGGCTCTCACGTTCCCCAGCTTCACGCGCACGTTTGTGCTCGCCTGCCAAATGTGCGGGGCGGCGCACACAAGCCGGAACCATCCGGCTGCAGACGTGAGTGAGAATCCGCTCCCTCGTCACTGCTCCAGGGGGGGCTGTGAGAATTAAACCATAGCCGCCCCCACTCTCGGCAGAGATCTTGCAGGCCGCCGTTCCTTAACTAGGCCAGGAGGCTTTCTGAGAGCGTGCGGCGTTGAGCGGGCTACCCTGCTGCGAGGAGCTGTCCCCGTGTCTGAGTTACGGCTAGCCGTCAGCCCCGGGCCGGCATCTCACAGCCCCTGGGATACCCGGGTCTCTCTTTCTTCACCCACTGCCTTGTCCCCGTCATGCTGGCATAACGACCGATTACCAGGCGGCACTGACCGATGACTGCCGCAAATTTCCCGTTTACCGCCGTGAACTGCTAACGAATTGCCGTCTGATGAATGCGATATGTAAAAAGTCTTTTACGAGCGTTCCCATAAGATGTAGTTTTAATGGTACAATTACAATCGTGCTGTTCATTGATTTGTGCTTATTTGTTGAGCTGTACAATGAATCAGGTGCCTGGTTTGTAGGGGTTTTTGGGAAAAGCTACTGTACGATTTACGCTAATCGCTACCTGTGAAGGTGGATTTATAGATGACCAGCGTGCAGTCTTTGCTCTTTGACGCACTGGGGATCTCCAGTGTTGGCCCCTAGGAACTATGTTGTCACAGTGTGGAATGTGTTGGGTGCCCGTCTGGGTGTGTTTGTGTTGTCGTGTGTGTGTATGTGTGTTTTTAGTGGAGATGTGATCGCAGTAGCTCACCCCTCCCTCTCCTCCATGGCAAGAAAGCCTCCCGCCTGCCACTGGCCCCTAAATCTCACGCAAACGCCCCCCCATCGCTTGCTGCTGACGGTAAGTAGCCATGCCAGTTGTTTGTTTGTGAAATACCGCTTGATATGCAGTTTGCCAGAGGCTACGGTGTAATTAATGTAAACTAGGGTTTCCGGGGGGGGGGGAGTTATGAGTTATTAACGGCCGAGTTTTTGTCATTAACTCCTTCCCTGCTGACCCCCCTCCCCCAAGCCCCCGAGGTGGGGGGCCGGTGCTCACTCTGGGTTTAACTCAGATGGGACTACCTCTGCTCAGAACGGCGATGGAACGTTCTGGAGCAGGTGTGGCGAGCTTCTCACTGGGCCTGCCCACACACACACGAGTGCGAAGTTGAGCGCCGATGACAGTGACGATGATGTGAGGTGTTTATTCGTCGCTGTCAGAGCCAATGGGCATTCAAAAAATGCTTAGCAGCATTTTCTATGGTGTGTGTGTGTGTGTGTGTGTGTGTGCGCGCATAATACCAGCTGTTCCCATAACTGCTTATCTATTACCAGGCCTGCCTAGTATTAGTTATCCTGCAGTCTATCTCAGGAAGTGCAAGGCATCGCAGGAGACACACGAACCTAAAAGACTGGCAGCATGGAGACACGAGACGCCAAGCTACGTGTTTCTGGATTGCAGGACGGAAAGCCGACCCTGCCTTGTGCCTGTAACTTCCAGGATGAGCTCTAGACCCCCACAACCCTGCACAGCACATGTGGGTATTGAAAATGGATGGATGGATGAAAACCCACTATGATATGAGCAAGGGTGAGGATTGAACCCCCAGCCCTGGAGATGAGGCCATAGTCTCAGAGCCACCATCTCTCTCTCTCTCTCTCTCTCTTACACTCACTCTGTCTCTCTCTCACACTCACTCTTTCTCTGTCACTCTCACTCTCTGTCTCTCTCACACTCACTCTGTCTCTCTCTCTTACACTCACTCTATCTCTCTCTTACACTCACTCTGTCTCTCTCACACTCACTCTTTCTCTGTCACTCACTCTCTCTCTTACACTCACTCTATCTCTCTCTCACACTCACTCTTTCTCTGTCACTCTCACTCTCTGTCTCTCTCACACTCACTCTGTCTCTCTCTCTTACACTCACTCTATCTCTCTCTTACACTCACTCTGTCTCTCTCTCACACTCACTCTTTCTCTGTCACTCACTCTCTCTCTCACACTCACTCTGTCTCTCTCTTACACTCACTCTGTCTCTCTCTCACACTCTTTCTCTGTCACTCTCTCACTCTCTGTCTCTCTCTCTCACACTCACTCTACTCTGTCTCTCTCTCTTACACTCACTCTATCTGTCTCTGACACTCACTCTCTCTGTCACTCTCTCTCTCTCTCTCACACTCACACACACGAAGGTGGAAAGCTGCCTCTGTGTCGTGCTGAGGTCCCCGTGTGGTCCCATGTGATGGCACTTCAGGCCAGCCGGTCGCAATCAGGTGGTGTGCGTGTGGCTCTTCTGTAGGCGGCGACTGATTGTGATTACAGCCCGTTCTGTCGCCGGCCTGTTATCTGTTTGCCACGCTTCGCATTTGATTCCGCAGCTGTGTGCCGCCTTCAAATTAACGTGCACCAGCCGCTGTGATTTTCAGCAAATAACATAGAGCCGTACTGCTATAATGCAGCGCCGCTATAATGCAGCGCCCCTATAATGCAGCGCCCCTATAATGCAGCGCCCCTATAATGCAGCACCACGCTGGCGAGGACCATGTTTCCCACTGACGGGAGGTAGGAAGAGGGTGTTTAATTAACAAGGGTTGCCAAATGATCGTCCATCGCATGTGATCGACACCTCAGCGCTCAGCGGCGCCTCCTTCTGGTCTCGTGCGTCACGCATTGCCAGGACACCTTTTCGGCGAGCCTCCCCCCCGCCTTCCCATCATCCTTCCCAAGCATGAAATAATCTCCTTTAAAAAATGCATAAGCGCTGGTTGTATAAACAACAGCCCCCTTCTCTCTTTACAGGATGCAGAAATGAATCCCCGGAATGAATCGCCGATCGCCTTTTTCCCGACTCTGATTTATACGATTTGCTTAAGGGGCGTCAGCGGCCGTAATGACCGAGATCCGCGGCGGCGGGATGGAGGCAGATGAAATGATGGAGCTGGGAATGAGACACCGTGCCGTGTCCTTTGTGCGCTTAGAGTGTGTGTTTACCTCTCTGCGAGTGTCTCTCTCTCTCTCACACACACACACACACACATATGCGTGGCTGCCCCTTCCCACAACAGGCCCGCAGGGTTGACCTTGTAGCGAGGAGGTCCTGCCACAGAACCCCACTGTCCATGGGGGGGGGGGGG